TCACTCTGCAGCTGTCACTAAGAGCATGCAGAAACAGAGAATAACCCATGCCCTTCCCAAGGTTCCTCTAAGTCACTTTCTTTAGTCTTAGGGAGTCATCTCCCGTTTTCCAGACACACCACTGGTAGGCGTCATCCTGCCTTCAAAAGGGGGAGGCAGTTTTTACGTGTGAAGCATGAACCTAGGTTTTGATTCCATCCACCTTCTGAGCAATTGGTGTGGTCAGGATCACGGTACAAGAACCTCTCCACCAAGGTTCATGGGTAACAGTCTTAATGTCACCTAATGTAGACCAGCCAATGCATATAGATGAGGAGTTATTAGTTCCCCTTCACTCTGGCTTTGTGCTCCTAGCCCTGAATGGAGCTGTGCCTTGATCCCTCTAAAGGCCAATAATGACTGGAGAAGAGAGAGATGATACATTCTGGCCTATACTTCCTTTTTCAAGGCTAAGTTGGAGTAGTGGCAGTTGACCCATAAGAATTTCAAAGGGAGCAGAGTTTTTCCATAAAGGGGATTCACACAACAGGACAATTGGAATGGATTTGGAGGGAGTACAGGGGAATTCTTTAAACTACCTACGTACATCTTATTCCCCTAGAGATTTCACCCACCTTAAATCTTTGAAGGGAAAGTGGTTGAAGTTCTGTCTTCTGGAACTGCTTCCTGCTGACACAGGGATGCTGACCCTGCCCGTAGGGTGAAATCTCAAGCTACCTTAGTTTTTAAACGATCAGTTAGGTGAAGAAATGCTACTTTGAAATGACCAGGACTTGAAGAAGGAAAAAAAAACAACAAATGTTCTAATGCTCAGGGTACAGGAACCAATTATCAATGGCATAGGAAGCCCAGTTCTGAGTTAATTCCTTCTTACTGCCCTGTTCAATCATTTCAATAACATTTCATTGCATTAGTCCAGCGATTAGTAATTTTCAAGTTCCCTTTGGAAACCTCGTTCCAATGCCCATTCTTCCTCTTCTGCAGAGTCTTGTGGCTTAGAGGAAATAATCCCTAAATGGGGTATTAATGCCATGATGGAACAAGAATTGAGAGCTGTTATGTATTAACTATTATAATGTATTAATGAATGTTTATAATCAGTTTGAAAGTTTCACTTTCTATTGTACTTTAGCCAATAGATTGGCAGGGGGAAAACAACGATCCTGAAATTTGAGCTATATGGGATGAGAGGGATACAATTAGGCCAGCCACAGGCAAGAAAGTACCCTACACACTATACTATCACTCTGTCTCCTCTTTGCTTTTGTTGTACAATTTAGGTCACCCATGTAGTACACATCAATATCTTGTATCAATTTAGAGTTGAGTAATAAGACCTACATTGGAAGTGGAGCCATTATGTTTCCAGTGCATTGTAAAAAGATAAAAAAATAACAACTGTACACCTAATCTGAATAAAAAATTGTGTGACAGACTCAGATGGGGATAAAGAGGTAGAAGTGTTGAATTGTTAGTTTCTTTTGTTTCTCTTTTCCTGTTTGTTTGATGCCTCTTAGGGATAAAACACAGGGCTGACCATGAGTGGAATATGTGCTACAACTGACTGAAGTCTCAACCAAGAGATTTGGTATTTTGGAAATGAAACAAAGAAAACTGTGAACAGACAATGAAAACTTGAGAGTCAAAGCAGAGCACAGTGGAGAGCAGCCATACAGATAGAGTTGATAGGGCAGGAAGGTTCTGGGAGTTTTGGTCTCACTTCCCCATGGGTTTGGAGCACTGGGTGACTATAACTGCTGTCATCAAAGGACTGACAATAGTAGTCAGCCTCGTCCTCAGGTTGCACCCCAGAGATGGTTAGATAGGCAGCATTGGAAGAACTCTCGATAGACCCAGAAAACCTCTCAGGAACCCCAGACGGTCTGCTATTGTCTTCATAGATCACATTTGTGGGGGCACTCCCAGGGCGCTGCTGGTACCAGTGCACATAGTAGGAATCAATATCTCCACTGCTGCGGGTACAAGAGATGGTGACTTTCTCCCCTGGAGCCCCCGACACAGAGGGGATCTGATTCAACACAACCTGGGCCCAAGTCCCTGAAAGAAAAGAACACAAAGATCAGTGTGACAGAAGGACCATTCCCAGGGAGGAGGGAGAGGTCATCATTAGTTGCCATTCCATCCCTGTCCTGCAAATTCCCAACAGGCACTACCTGTGCAGGAGGCCAGGAAGGTGAGGAGCAGCAGAGTCCAGGCCATGCTGAAGACACTCCCACACTTTGTGCCCAGTGTTTAACAGCTCACTATGTCCTCAAGGCCTTTATAGGACCTCCTGAAACACAGGGTGGGATATTTTCATGCAAAGCTTCCCCCTCAAGAGGCCATGCAAGCCCCTCCTTAAAATTGGCCTAAACTCAAGCTGAGTAAAGAGAGACTAGATCAGGGGGAAGGATTTCTCCCCAGCATGCCAGGGTGACATCTGCTTGGCAAGGGAAGAGCTCACAGATGAGCAGCCTAGGAGCTAAGACGAATTAGCACTGCCCCCTAGAGGACACAAGAGATGTGTCACTGCTCTACCCAAGCCACATCCCCAGAGTTCCAGATCACAGCCAGGATGGGCACTGATGGAGGGATGGGTACTTGATCATTGTATAACTGAAACCCAAGCACAAAAATTTCTAAGTCTATAACTGTACCTCATGGAGTTTCACTAATAAAAAATAAATATATAAATAAATAAAATTTAAAAAAGATCACTTACACAAAAAGAAATTCTGCTGGAGAAATTTTGGCTGCCAACAACATTGAATTATAGCTATATCAGTGTGAGATTAGGGAGCAGGGTAAAAAAAAGTTCCCAAAGATCTTTTCACCATGAGATGAAAAATGGGGGGGCATGGGAAGGAACTATTTTTAATTCTATGGGGGAAAACAAATGCAAAGGAAAATAAGAATTACAGCGTGGGACAAGAAACAGTGGGTTTTGAAAGAAAGATGGCGGCCGCACGGGAGCCTTGTGGAAAGCGGGTTTGAGCCGGGCTCGGGGGAGCGGCGGGGACCTCATGGGAAGGGGGGCTTTGTGGGCCGTCCCCCACGCCCCACCGAGGTCGCCAGCTGCCCCCCACGAGCGGCTCTCCGGCACGGCCACGGCCCCAGAGGCACAAGGACTTAGCACAGAGAACCAGCCGCTTGGAGCAGAAAAGCAAATGGACTTGTGTTGATCCGCGCCACCAAGCCTGCCCGGAGGGGGAAGGGCGTTGACCGGCCCGCCCGCTCCTCTCTGGAAAGAAAGATGGCGGCCGCACGGGAGCCTTGTGGAAAGCGGGTTTGAGCCGGGCTCGGGGGAGCGGCGGGGACCTCATGGGAAGGGGGGCTTTGTGGGCCGTCCCCCACGCCCCACCGAGGTCGCCAGCTGCCCCCCACGAGCGGCTCTCCGGCACGGCCACGACTCCAGGGCACAGAAACCAATCTCTTAACTAGCTAACTTTTAATAGAAATTCTTCCAGGGTCAATAAGTAAAATAGCAGAAATTCAAAACCGCGCGGCCGCGATTTTAGACATCATTTTATTCTTAAACCAAGTTGTAGAAAGCAAATCATTTCACAACGCTGTTTCAGCATGTCTGATTGGGGGGGGGGGGGGGGGGTCGTAAACTCTAAACAATAATTGTGCATCTTCTATCGAAATAATCTATCTAGTCAAAGTAGATAGAGTATTAACTAGAACTCATCTGCCTCACAAAGAATTGGGAGGGGTGGGAGGTGGGGGTCTATTGGGGTTCGGGGTTAAAAATGAGTATTGGTAAAGGGAAATGTGTTTGGTATCTACATGACTGAGACCTAAACCCGAAAGCTCTGTAACTTTTCCCACAGTGATTCAATAAATAAATAAATTATAAAAAAAAAAAAAAGAAATATTAAGTGCCTAGGTCTCAACTATCAATAAATTGTAAAATCATAAAAAAAAAAAAGAAACAGTGGGTTTTTGTGAAGAAAGAGTGGATAATAATAAAATAAATCAAAATTTAAAAAAAGATTCCCTAGACTGCATTTTTTTTTCAGTTTTTGGGTCACACCAGGCGATGCACAGGGGTTACTCCTGGCCTCCTGGCTCTGCACTCAGAAATCACCCCTAGCGGTGCTTGGGGGGACCATATGGGATGCTGGGAATCGAACCTGGGTTGGCTGCATACGGCTGTTCTATCCCTCCAGCCCCTACACTGCATTTTTATCTCACTTCGCATTTTAGAAGTGTACAAATGGGGCAAAACAATGTTGAGTAATTCTGTGGAATAAATGAATGAGATACATTGAGGAATCGGGTGGTATCTGCGCTGAATTTAACTCCAAGGTAGGCTTGGGCAGAGAAATTTCCACACTAGGAGAAACAAAGACTATGTGTACAAAGTGTATGATCTATAATGCACCAAGGAACATTATGAACACTTGGAGATATATAACATATACCTTTTGTTGTCATTTTTGGTGGATTTGTAAAGGGAAACTAGGTACACATTTAGTTATTGATTTGGCTATCTGTTCATACCTAGGGCCTGGCTTTCCCATTATTAGTATAGAAACTCTGAGTGACTTGTTTTACTTCTAGGCTAAAATACCAGTGTAGTGAAATGGAGTGTAATGGTTACTCATGGGAGACAATTAAACTGAATATTTAATCTGCAGATAAGGGGACAACTCAGAACTGAGAACCTGGGGAAACTCATGCCAGCAAATCTAGAATGGGCTAAGGGGTGACAGTGATGCAGGCCACCTTTGGTAGTAAGTTCATATGACTTCATTTGATATTTCTGATACATATTTGACAATATCTTTACTTACTGTTCACAGGTGAGGACTCAAAGATGGAATGGAGGCACAAATCTGAAGTCTCTTAGGTAATGGGTTTTGGAACAAGATCTCTGCTGAATAGAAAGAGTATACCCTAAAATATCTAGAGCAGGACTGAGAATCTTTGGAGGACTCAACCTAAACAAGTGTGTGATTCCACACCAGTGCTGGGGGAGAGGAGAAAATCCCAAGTTATCCTTTGCATGCAGAGCAGAGCCGTGGGCAGGCTTTTGTCTCACTTCCCCATGAGTTTGGATCACTGTGAGGGTAAGCACTGTTATATGTAGCACAGTAATAGTTAGCCTCATCCTCAGGCTGCAGCCCAGAGATGAGCAGAATCCCTGCATTGGCTGAAGAATCTTTGGATCCAGAGAAGTGGCTCGGGACCCCGGAGCCTTGGCCCTTGTCTGAGTCTGTTCAGGAGATACCGGGGAGGGCTTCTTGGCTTCTGTTGGTGCCAGCTAATCCTTCGGTCCCCAACACTGATGTCACTTCTCACGGTACATGACAGTCTGACAGTTGTTCCAGGAGATGCAGAGAGGGAGGGCAGCTGAGTCAGCACAGGCTGGGAGAGGGAACCTGCAAACACAGACATACGTGGGTGCGAGACAGAGACCAGTGTCATCTGCTGGAGACTCAGAGACAGAGAGTTGGACACTGACTATGAGTTTACGCTATGAGTAAACCAGCCTTACCTGTGCAATGATAGAGGAGCACAAGGAGGACAGGAATCCAGGCCATCCTGCACACAGACCCTCAGAGACTCTGAGCTGTGGCTGGGCTGACACAAGCATCTCTTATCTCCCGGAGGACCCTAAAGGAGGAGGGGCTTTTCATGCAAATTTGCTTTCCACACAGGTGATCTCTGCTTCACCTTGAGGACCAGCTGAGGTCTGCTCTTCTTATTCTATTTCTTCCTTTTGCTTAGTTAAAACATGTGAAAAATTCTTTTAGGCACTTTGATTAACACTGATAATGGTAGGGTGTCAGGCTAAAAATAATCAAACTTACCCTCTACCACAGTGTCATCTTCCCTCCAATAGGTCCCACTGTGCCCCCCAATATTTATAATAATACCCCGTGTCCCCAGCAGTAATATGCTTCCTATTAATATGCATTCTATTAATATACTTCCTATTAATATGCGTCCCAGTTCTCGATGCTTTTGTCTTTGAGGATCAATTGCTTCTTTACTATATTAATTTATATACTACCTATGAGTGTTTATTATGTACCATTGTGTCCACCTCCAGAAAAGTCTCTGCTGCTCTTCACTCTTTATACCGACAGTGCTAATGAAAAGTCTCAGATTTACACGTGGGAGGAAACAACCGCTGGGACTTGACACAGTCCTGAAAGCAGGAGATACTGCACAGTCACAGAAGGTACAGCTGCTGAGTCTGCTTCAGAGTCCAGTGTGCTTGGGCAGGGTTGGCAAGGAGGTGTGGTTGGCTGAAACTTTACAATTGTTCACAAGGAGGTGCCCACCTCTACAAACCCTATTGAGGATTCCAACTCCCTCTGCTGCTAACTCATCAAATTTCCGTCTCATTTGTAATGTTTCCTTGGCAAGGACCTGAGTTCGATTCCTCCGCCCCTCTCGGAGAGCCCGGCAAGCTACCGAGAGTATTCGATATGCCAGACACAGTAACAACAAAGTCTCCAATGGAGACGTTACTGGGCCCGCTCGAGCAAATCGATGATCAACGGGAGGGCCTTTACCTTTACAGTCTGTAACAGAACAAAAAATTCACGGGACATGTGTTCGACTCACTGGGAGAACTGACATCAATAAACAGCTTTTCCTATATGATCATCTACATATTTTTTTGAAAACTAGACTAGAAACTGATCGCCACACAATGTGAACACAGTTGCCCTGGGATGATGCAGAGGGATCTGTGAGCAAAGACACATCCTTGTACAGAGGGGAGGAGACTGGTCATCCAGGTCCACAAGAGAGAGGAGCTTCTGCTATTGGACAAGGAACTTCCCGGGCTTGCTTGAGCCAGCAGAGCAGTCTGGAGGCTCTATGTCTAGAGAAGATGAGTAACGGTGCTCAACCACTCTGAGATTTTACGTTTTATGGGGCATTGGGGATGAGCTATACCTCCCATGGTCCTGGTCTCATATTTCCTAGGATGACTGTGTTATAGGCCCGCACCATATTTCTTTATTTCAGCCTCGTTGTTTCACAAACAAAGCCTTCTTTGTTTCACAAATTACAATTGTCTGTCAATCATAGTTTCCCATCTATTTTTCAAAAAAAAATGTAGATAATCATATGGGAAAAGCTGTAGAGGTGATGTTGCCTTTGACACCCCCAACAACCCGAATGAATGAGTCAGAAAAGCCCAAGTGAGGAACCAAAGAATTGCTTACATGAGTCACCTTTAGGAAAATGCTTACAGAGTACTGAATGAGTAAATATAAAAGAGGAATGCTAGGTCATCCTTGCCCCCAGTGCTTCAGGAGGATATAGACAGAGAAGGAAAGAAATCAAGCAGGAAAGAGGTGGACAAGAAGTACGGGTTAACAGACATCAGGGCTTCAGTTTAACAATGATGTGAGTGAGGGGTATACCCATATATCCAAAATATACTTTGAACTGAAATTGAAACACGATATCTAAGCGGCAAACCCTGAAGTTTTGTAATGTACCTATCAAGTTGACAGACAGTAATAAAGTGGGGTTGGGGATGACGAGGGAAATTGGGAATACTAGTGGAGGGAATTCATCACTGGAGGAGGGCTTGGTGTTGAATTATTGTATGCCTAAAATGCAACTATCACTAACTTTGTGAACCATGGCTCTTTAATAAAATATATGCATGCATTCAATTCATATTTGTATTATCTTTTAAAGAATAGGAAATCCTATGACTGTAGGTGGCATGAGGATTACAAAAAAGAAAAAAAATGGGAGGATGCTGTGACTGAAGACAAAACTGTGGTCATAGGCGGGATATCCCACAGACAACACGAACCTGTGGCCGGAAAAATAAGACAGCACATAGGGCACTTATCTTGCACACAATCATTCCTCGTTTAGTTCCTGAGACCCCATAAGGTTCCCAAGCACTGTCATGAGTGACCCTTGAACACAGAGCCAGGAATAAACTCTGGATACCACCAGGTATGATCTAAAAACCAAAGATGAAAGAAAAAAATCACAGATTCCTGTACAGTCCTAGGTTTAGTAAACTAGTGATTGTCAGAATCTGATGCCCCAACTACCACAGCTACAGTTTTTTCAGCCTAGGATGCCCATTCTACAAGTGAATTTTGTTTTGTTTGTTTGTTTTGTTTGTTGGGGTTTTTTCGGCTTTTTTTTTTTTTTGGATCACACCCAGCAATGTTCAGGGATTACTCCTGGCTCTGCACTCAGGAATTACTCCTAGTGCTGCTCAGGGGACCGTATGGATGCCAGGGATCGAACCTGGGTGGGTCATGTGCAAGGCAAATGTCCTCCCCACTGTACTATTGCTCCGCTCTCTCACAATAGAATTTTAATCCCTAGTGTTATATTTCCCAAAACTGCAAAACCAAGGCTGTCACTGGTGTCGTCACTAGGTCCAGCAGGGGGCAGAAAAGGTTGCACGGGACTCCTTAGTGGTGTCGGAGATCAAAAGTCCACCCTCAGAGAAAGATCACAGCGTGGCTGTCACTGGTGGTCCTTTGCTTTTCTGCCTCTCTCTCTCTCTCTCTCTCTTTCTCTCTTTCTCTCTTTCTCTCAATCTCTCTCATCTCTCTGTCTGCCTCTATTTGTCTCTGTCTCTCTCTATCTCTCTGTTTCTCTGTCTCTTTCTCTGTCAATTTCTCTCTCTGTGTCTGTATCTCTGACTCTGACTCTCTGTCTCTATTTCTCTATCTCTGTATATCTCTCAATCTCTGTCTCTGTCTCTTTCTCTCGATCTGTCTCTGTCTCTGTTTCGCTCTCAATCTCTTAGTCTCTCTATCTCTCTGTTTCAGTCTTGCTCTGCCTACCTCTGTCTCTCTACCTCTCTGTCTCTGTCTCACTGCCAGTCTCTGTCTCTCCATCTCTATATCTGTCTGTTTCTCTGTCTCACTGCCGGTCTCTGTCTCTCCATCTCTATATATGATTCTGTTTCTCTGTCTCTGTCTGTCTCTCTTTATCTCTCTCCCTCCCTCCATACCCTCCCCTACATGTTCCTGAGTTGCAGTCCACACAAGGGAGAGCAGCAGCAATGCCCAGTAGATTTAGATTCTATTTTCAATGTAACATTGATGGTTTTACATCTGGTTTTGAGTCTTTATTCGGGAAGAACAAGAAAGAACCTAGAGAAAATTTCTTAGTGGAGTTTATAAAAATGTATCTTTTCAACAGCTACATGACCAGCTCAGTGGTACCAGAGATGTTGTCCCTATCTGTGTGTGTCACTGTGAGAAACCCCACTATGTGAGGTATGACAGTAGTCAGCCTTGTCCTCAGGCTGCAGCACAGAGATGAGCAGGATCCCTGCATTGGTCAGAACATCTTTGGACCAAGAGGAGCCGCTGGGGACTCCAGACGCCTGGTGCTTGTCTGAGACTGATTTATTTATTTTTGGGGGGGTCACACCCGGCGATGCTCAGGGGTTACTCCTGGCTCATGCACTCAGGAATTACTCCTGGCAGTTCTCGGGGGGCTATATGGGATGCTGGGAATTGAATCAGGGCTGGCCATTTTGGCTGCGTGCAAGGCAAACGCCCTACCAGCTGTGCTATCGCTCCAGCCCCCGAGTCTGATTTAAACCTCAGGAGATACCGGGGAAATCTTCCTGTCATCTGCTGGTACCAGAATATGTGGAGGTCCCCAACACTGAAGCCACTGATCAGGGTACAGGTAAGTCTGGTGGTGCTTCAGAGAGTTGCAGAGACAGACAGAGGCTGAGTCAGTGCAGGCTGAGAGAAGGAACCTGGAAATGCAAACACTCATGGTGATGAACAGGGACCAGGTGATCCCACAAGGGTTTGAGCCAGAGGGGCTGACTGGACCGACCCCTGCCCCTAATAGTCTCGAATGTGGCATTTTCTAAAATCTCCGGGCTAGGATGAAGGAGACATTACTGGTGCCTGCTCAAGGAAATCGATGAACAACAGGATGACAGCAATACAGTGACAGTGATGTTCACCCTATTATTATTTTTATTGGTAAATCCAAACACGATATGTCTCCAATATTAATATATTAGAGTCTCATGGAAAGTAGGAAGTTTCCATTGAAAATAAAGGTAACTTGGATATATTCTTTTTAAAAAAATTTTATTGAATCACTATGACATAGTTACAAGCTTTCATGTTTAGGTTGCAATCACATAATAATCAAACACCCATCCAGTGCACATTTCCCACCACCAATATCCCCGCTATACCCCCCTTTCACACCCTCCCCCTGCCTCCATGGCAGACATGATTTTCCATACTCATGATTCTCTCTCTACTTTCAACAGACCCTGAGAGGTTATTATGCTTGGTCCTTTATCTACTTTCTGCACACATATCCCATCCTGATCGATTCCATCTTTTTCTTAGTGATCCCTTCTCTATTCCAGCTGCCTTCTCCCCTTTGCTCATGAGGCAGGCTTCCAGCTTTGGAGCAATCTAATCTGTCCCATGAATCTACTATCCGTAGGTGTCAACCTTATGTTATGTTGATTTATACTCCACAAATGAATGCAGTCCTTTTATGTCTGTTTCTCTCAGACTCGCTTCACTTAGCATGATACTCTCCATGTCCATCCATTTATAAGA